TAAAAAGCATGCCACATATCCTAAGGGTGATTCAACAGTATTCAAAAGAGGAATACTGGAATCACTCAACAAGAAAATAGCCCAAAAGAAAGATCTAAAATACCACAAGCACAACAATAATGTCGTCCTTAACATTCTGTAAGGATCCACACGGCACAAACAACGCTGATTACCACATTAGGCAAAATAAGTTTAATTGATAAATGTTTATACAAAAATGTACGCATCTAAGGTATGATTTGAGAGAAAATGCTAATTAATGTGATACAGCATTATTTATAATCCTATTTAATCACTTGTTTTGATAGAAATAAACGAAGACGAAATGTCAGAATGTAATTTGATATGTTTAACTAACATTTCGGTAATTGTTTCAATTGTTAAAAACATTCAAAGACTCTTTTGTTTGGAAATATAAAGTTTATTTATTCAACTTCAGTAAGTTATAATTATTATTTCATATTATTATTAATGATGTTCTTCCATTGTAAGATAACAGTAACTTAAATTTATTCAAATTTTGTAGCAACAAAAACTTTCTCTGTAAAACATTAAAATTCGTTAAGGTATTTATATTGTATATCATGTTCTTACATTACATGATTGTTTACTGTATTGGCAATAAATGTATATTGTCATTTTACGCCAAATAAAGAATATGTTATGTTATAATTAATCACACATATTCACATGCTGTTTTAACACAATGCAATGCCAGCAGCTAAAAACAATAAGTTATGCGCTTAAACATGAAAGTATTGTCAAAAAAAACCCGGACGATTCGTTTTCGGTTAGAAATATCATGTCGGTTTTTCTTCTCTTTCAAATTTGTATTGGATGCAAAAGAAAAAAGAGAAATATCAATAAATGAAATTAAATTTTCTGTTTATAGACTAAATTATCATATTTGAAAACATTTAAGTGCAGGGCATTTCGATTGGATATCACATTATCAGAATATCAAAACAAAATACTATTGTAACATACTTTATATTGGCATTTTCAACAAATTACATGAGAATATTTGTGGCATAATAGGCCAAGAAAAAATATGGAATATCTGAATAATGATATATTCGGCTAATTGCGGTAATTAGAGATAATTTGTTTTTGTTTATGGTATATTGTTTAAGCTACATTCCCTTGTAATAACTTATCATATTTACATTTTTACATTTATCTTTGGTAGAGCTTCGGACTTGCTGTTTTGTGGTAAGATCCTCGGGACGGGGGAAATATCCTCCAGAGATGGATTCTTATTTCGTTTCTTTGTCTCACACCGTTGATTCAGAAATCATGTAGAATATGCAGTAGGTCCCTTGATTTTATGGAGAAATTGGTAATTACTGGTCAGTTATCCTGGAAAGCCAGGTAGTAGTGGTCTCAGCTAAGCTATGATCAAAAATGTTTACAAAAGGTCTAATAAAAACGAGACGGAGAGAACAAAAAATATTGTGAGAACTTTCTGATTAGATGAAATATTAGTTATTTCATTCCGAACAAACCAAAACTTTGTTGAGCATAATGTTTTCTCTTACAGTATGAATCATTTTACAAAGACAAATCTAAAATGTAGAAACAAACTTCAACTGTTTATGTGAATCAATCGTAAGTAAATTAAATGTATAAAATATTGAAATGGTCAAGTCAGTTTTTGATGTCAACTCATAAACAGGTTTACATCTCATTATTACAAATGCCATTTACTCATAATTTTCACAAATTCAAACATAACATTACAAACAAAGAAATAAAATAAATTTATTTTACAAGTTTGCTGTCTATATTTCTCTCGTGTAGTACTTTTCTGCATTGTGACATAACTTTTCAACCTCTTGAAATTCTTGAGCTGCTCAGAATAAAATTAACTAGAGCTGTCGGGGGACAGCAGCGCTCGACAATTCGAAAGAGTTATCACAAGGGTGTTTCATTGAGTATGATAATGTTTACCTGTATGAATAAAATAGGTAAAAGGCATGTTATTAAGTAAATCTTGATTATTGAAATTGTCAAAAAAAGCACAAACGCTTCAGTAGTTATGGAGAAACCAGCTTACATGCAAAAACTCAACTAACAATTTCAGTTAAAAAGGGGGCTTAATTATGTACAAAAGCAAATCAGAGTAATGGGACGGATGCCAGTAATGTTATATAATCACAGAAAAAAAAGATGTAAATATACAATCCATTCCATTTAGAAGTTATAGAGATACCAGCTTATACGCAAAAACTTAACCAAGAATTTCTAAGTCGAAAAGGGCGCATAAATATTCAAAGAAAACGAATCAGAGTTATGGGACTTGTGCCTATCATGTAAGATAATCACAGAGAAGAAGAGTGTGAAATTTCAAACCAATCCCTTTAGTAGTTATGGAGATACCAGCTACACATAAAACATAACCACAGGAACACCGACACCGACGCCGACAAATTGGTAACTGTACTAACTGACATTCGTTCTTTCACTTTTCAAAGTAAAGTTCAACGGAAAAAATAGGAATTATACCGCTTACTTATGACACGTTCATATACACTGAATAATTTATGTAACGTATAATTGTAACATTGAACTGTATAAAAACGAATAATATTATAAGAATCGCCTCCAAAAATTACGTAAATGTAACTTTACTAGATTATTATTGTTGTCCAGAACTTGATTACTTAGGAAAGCTGAAATCAAACTGATATCGCTTATTATTTATAAAACACAAATATTAATAAAAAATTGGAAATGTATGATATTGAATTGCTAAAGAAAATAAAAAAAGAAATAATCATTTGTAGTTGAGGTTTCTCACCATAATTGCTTAAAATATAAAGGTCGGTTGGGCATTCGTAGTCAAGTGGTTAAGGTCATTGACTTTAAACAATTTTCCCCTAACCGCTGTTGGTTCGAGTCCCGCAAGGGATTTGAATTCTTTCATATTAAGAAGCTTTCCAACTGTCTTACAGATCAACGGATGTTCTCCTCAGGTGCCCGTTTGTGCCTGAAATAATGCACGGTGTGCGCCCGAGGTTTACCGGCAGTAAGGATGTGAAATCGTCATATGACCTTTATTTTGTTGGTGCAAGGATGATTGTTTTCGTGCCCTTTTATAATTGATGGCCTTAATCGACAATCATCTTAAAGTTGTTATCAGTAAGATAAAAATTCTTGCTTAGTCGCAGCATACTCGTCCGGTTAGCTCAATAGGTATAGCGTTGGACGGCGAATCGGGCGACCCGGGTTTAATTCCCGGACGACGCAGATGATATGAACACTGGTTTCAGTTCCTTGCGGAAGTGAAGGCAACTAGTACTTGTAAACTGCTTGACATCCTGTCTAGGAACAATGTGGTGGCTGAACAGTGCTCAATGTGGCTTACTGCCGTGATCCGGAGTGAAAACTATCACCATAATCATAGTCGCAGCATGATCAAAATTGTTACCTAATGTGACTAACTGCGTGAACAATCGGGAAAATAAAAAAACAGTTCTTTTTGACATTTGATTCAAAATATCATGACAAAAAACTTAATTGAGTTATAAGGTTCACGAGCAAAACATACATATTAAGTAATTATAATAATAATATCTTTTATTCCTCCAATATTGAAGAGCATAATACATATAACAAATTAATAATATTTTACAGACAGTAAATAGAGATATATGTACAAATCAATCAGAATCAAAATAGCAAATGCGTCCTTAAGAATCTCTATGTATATGAAAAACATATAACAAATTAATAATATTTTACAGACAGTAAATAGAGATATATGTACAAATCAATCAGAATCAAAATAGCAAATGCGTCCTTAAGAATCTCACATTTGTCTAAACGAAGAAATGAAGATCGAAAATGTCAGACAAAAGCGTTATTCATAGTAACAATTATTAACAAGTATAAACAACTGACAAAAAACAATGTCCACTGGTTCAAAGTTAACTAGATACGAAAACGAAAGGCTAGTCAATTTACAATGGAATTTGTTCCTGCAATTAAGTTATAAAGCTATAAATAGAAACTATGACGAAAATACACAACTACATTACATATGTAATTTGATTATTTCAAAGTATCTGATATAAAGTGAGTTGTTCTATATCACACTAATCGAACATTTTGCAAACACATAAAGTATAATGTATATGTTTAAACATGTCCCCATCAATTGTAACAGCTAACCTTAGCAAATACTCACACTGTTCAGATGGTGTTAACAGAACAAATGACATGTAATCACAGTGACCATTAATCTCTATCATCAAATTCCACAAACGTTCACGTATATGTGAGTTAACCTCACAATAACAAATCAAATGTTGTACAATGTCTTCAGTCGACCGATCACACTTAAAGCATTTACAAATGTATTTTCTGGACAAGTACCGCGCTAGAATATTCATCAGTTTGAGACATAGGCGCGATAATCGTGGTTTTCTTTTCGATAGAGTCCATATAATACAAGGTTGCGCCCCCTGTTGTAATAACGACATCAAGGGCATTGCATTCAAACTCACATTGACCCTTCCTTGGCTTAAAACTTGTTGATTCAGAATCCGCTTCCAAGCTATTTTGGACGGAAATGTACCTTCTGTTATGTATGTATTAATAACATACTATAATCCGTACTTTTTTAGAATTGCACATATAGTAGGAATAATCCAGAAGTCTGCTTATCATAATTAAGGTAACAAACAAGGCGACTGTTGAAAATATGTTTAGCAAGATATACATCAGAAAGTCTACATAATTGTCCAAGGAATTGCAATTTTCTATGTTCAACGATAATGTCAATAGGAACGGCGTCTAATGCACTCAATGCAAATTCAGTTGATGTACCATTTGGAAATGACTGCATGTTTTTAATACAAATCTATGAGACCTTTCGAGTTGCATAATATCCGTAGAAGTGATAGAAGACCACAACTCGCTTCCGTATAGCGCTTTTGGGATAATTGTTACATCGTATATTTTTTAAGGTAATAGGGTTTTAAGCACTGTGGACTGATTCCACTATTAATTATACTGAGGGAGGTACCTCTAAGTTTAGTACATGCGTCCTCAACCATTTTTCTTGTTGACAGAAACGGATCACAGTTGATACCAAGATGTACATAGTTCGATGTTTCACAGATTTTTGTATTACCAAGATAGAATTCTCTGTCACGATCATTATTTGTACGTTCATTAAAAACCATTACAGCGCATTATTCTGCATTATAACTATAGCGCCACCGCTTTGAGTATTCACTACATATATCAAGCATACCATTTAGTCCATTAACAGAATAAGACACTAAGAGCATATCGTCTGCTACGGTAGGGGAGCTAACTCTAACATTACAAACACAGATACCAAATCCACTTTTCTCTAGCTCATCTATACAAACAAAAAGTCAAATTTTAATTACAGTTATTACACATAGCAAAACTGTAATAACAGTTATATTATACGGGGAAGTCAAAGACCGGGCCCGCAAAGCGGGCCCGGGCTTTGGCTTGCCCGGCTATAGACTACACGTGTATATTTAAAAGAAAATCAAATAAAAAACAATTAAAAAATTTATAGAATTCTATACCTATCAATGAAATTTTCAGTGTCAGTTCTAGTCGGGCGCCGCCATTTACAATGTATGTCAATGATAATAGGCGGGGTATTCCGATAACGGAACAAATCTCAACTTTTCGGATTAGTAATAATAGTCGAGTGTTCCGAGTGAAAACGGAAGCGGTGTATGTAATATCGAATGACACCTTTAAAACGGAAAGAATGAAAGGATTTTTTAACGACTTCCCCGTTCATAGGCTTTGCCTAATTTCATATTATATATAAAAACCACTTTCTGAATATGTTAAACTGAAAGGGTATAAATCTATATGTTATGAAATATTCTTATAAAATTTATAGCGAGCTCGACGAGCTGGCCCGAAGGGCCTGCTCGCAAAGCGAGCTTTACGGTAACGCGAGTACCTGCTAAGTGATGGTTTTGAAAACTTTCGTCCGAAGTACCGAATTGGACACATCGCAACCTTTCGAATTTAAAGATAACGATAAACACTGAGGAATTCTGACTGAAAACGGATGTGTAGACTGGTCACCCGCGCACGTCTATGGGAACCATAATTGGACAGGGAACCAGAATAACGGAAGCTGCGTATAAAATATCGAATTGAAGGCGCCATTTTGTTTGAAAAATCTGATAAATAAAAACAATTTTTTGTCGAATTTTGTTGTGAAAACTATCTAGAATGAAAGAAAATAGTCTAACTAAGAAAATGAATCCGAACAGCAATATCTTTTATTCAGTCGTTAACGCTGTACAGACGTTTAAAGTATTGTTTACGTGACGTCACAATGTAGCGCCAAACTGCACGCGCAAAACAAACAAATCAAGTACGCTATTTTAATGTCGCAAATGTTTTAAGTTTTACATTTATTTTACTTTTAATGATCTTTATTTCGCTTGAAAAATTATAGAGTGAAATAAAATAAACAAACAAAGTTTTATCAACGTTTTCAAAACTCGTTATTCATTTAACGACAGGGGCGGAGCCATTTTTAACACAGTACGAGTACGTGTCACTGCAATGAGCGATTATTTCATACTTTTTCACGTTAAAAGTACATCGAGCTCGCTTTGAGGCTTTGCCTTTTTCATATTATGCAGTAAAAAAATGTTGGTGCCGTTATAATATGATTGATTCCGAAAAGTTATAACGTACAATGTTTGTTATTTAATACACATGAATAATGTACGTAAACAATAAAATGTTCCGGAACAAAATATTATTTTGAGTAGGGTTTTATCCGTTTAGCAATGATTTTGTGCATGCGCCATTCGCTTTTAAGGCAATAAATTACCATATTTATTTCATACAAGCAATTTGGAAGTATACCTTTTAAAATTCAAACAATAATTTTTGCATAAGATATATAGCTTTATACACTTTAAAGGCACGACAAGGCTCTGAAATACATATTCCTTTTTACAAAACTCTTAAGAAATGTAAAGTTTATGTTTAATAGTGGTTATTATGAATGTGCATTTTAACGACGAAAGTAGAGCTGAACGTGCAGAAATGTGTTGTAAAGCTAGCAAAATGTAAACGTAAAAGTAGATTTTTTACTTCTATACAAAACACTTATTTAATATAAATATTCCAATTGCTAATAGATCAAATAATAGCTCATTTACATAGCAAATATATTTTTTGGAAACTGTTACACAATACAAAATGTAAAAGTTTTTGAGAAATAAAATAGCATTCCTGGGACATAATATGTCTTAAAGTAGTTGTTTTTCTGTTTAGACATATAATGCAGATTCAAAAAAATCTCAAAGATATTTATTTTCACCTCTCATTGTCTAAGTGGTTTCAAGTATTACAAACTGCGATAGTTATTTGCTTTGAACGGTTAAGAATGTAGTTCTATCGAATCATTGTGAAACTCATTTTTCCTCGTACTATATTTTAAATGTCGACAGCATTTTAACATACTCACGATAGTTTCTTTTAGGTCTTGTCGAAAGTAATCTCCAAACAAACAGTATAGAACGAAATTTATTCCACTATTTAAAAAGTAGCTTGTGATGATGAATTGATAAAATTGCGAAGACGCGAACGATAGACTGTATTGTGAATACATGAAAGTAGCGTATGGGAACGTTGAAATGCAATGCATAATACTTATAGATATCACAACCCTTGTTATATTTCTGATGTTCCTTTCTTGTCTGGTCCCTCCTTGCGCTATTTTCTTGCGCGTACAAATTGTTACCAATGTGATTACGTTACTTACAGTTATAATTAACAAAGGTAGCAAAAACGTGAATATTCCATATGATACGGCATTCAATATCTTTGATGTATAATCATCCATAGCATTTAGTACACAAGATGAAACTGTTGAATTTTCAGAATACACGTTAACAGATGCTGTAAACAGAACATTTACATTTAAACTGAACGAAAACAATATGATAGACACAATAGCAATTATCGAACGTCTTTTAGCATTGGTCTGAAACATTTGAAGTGGAGCAATAACATAGAGCATTCGTTCCATTGCAATCAAAACAGTGATCCATGCTGATAATTGTGGTGAAAACATTCCAAAGAAACACACAAATTTACAAATAATATCATGTTTAACCCGCAGCTCTATACCATTTACGTAAATGGCATACTCAGTTCCAATTACTAACAAAATAAATAAATCATTCACAGCCAAACTCCACATGTATGTTTTACAGTTTGTTGTTTTGCTTCTTTTGCCATATTTCCAAATCACGATTGAGAATATATTGCCCACTGAACCAAGGACAATAATTATGCTTAAAATGTCCACATATATCATTGTACACTGATATATTCTATCGGCCTGAACAACAAAATAATGATAAATGAACCCTTTCTTGTATGAACATAGCTTTCATATGGTATATGAATATAAAAGGATAAAATGTCTAGCATTCTGCCGGGAATGATTGCTGTAATATAATAACACTTAATTCATAAAATGACCTTTTACCGTGAATATACGAAAAAATCGAGCTCTCCTAATATTCGTTACATATCTAAAACTAAAGAGCAAAGGATCAACATGGTAATAGACTTCTTTTTTAATTTGAACACAACTTTTATGTGATGTGAAAGGATGGTGTCTGAATTTCCGTATTGTCCGAGTTTCTGCTATATATAGATGAATGGAAGCATTATAGGGTGTCTGAATTTCAATATACTTTGATTTTTTTCTGCTATCCTGTTACCGATATTATAATGCGCAATCTTATCTATAAAATTAATAATAAGATGTCCATTTGGTATTTTCCAATGAGAATTTGTGTCCCTTTTTTACTATATGACATCAGTTTGTCTTTTCTTTTCTGCAACTTAACGTAATGATCCTTGAACCATTTACAAGATGTTGTTTTAATAACTTCTGGCCTATCGTTATTATACGATGTTTATTGTTCATAATAGAATGTATATTGTAATTGCTTTTATTAATTTTTATTGGTTTTACGATGGTCAGGAGACTTTGTACAATGACATTATGCATTATTGCTTCTAATGTTAATTTGCCATGGGTGACCATGAATTTCGTACTGTCACATAGGTAACAGTTTCTTTATTTACAGTTAAAACTTTTCAGGTGCAACATTTTCCAAAACACAAAGTGACCGCCACTGTTTTCATGACTCTACCTAAAATATTACTACCACACGTTAACTACTCAAGATTATCGCCAGAGTAACTTTGAGCACTTGTTTGAATTAACTTGTTTGAAATTTACGGTTCCTTTTCCGTTAAAAAATAGCCAGAAATGGAACCTTAAAGAACGCCTAAAACAGAATAATTGATAAGGCTGAAGACTGGTTTTGATTGGGCCTATTTTTGAACAGAAATGCAAGCTACTGTCCGCTGTGTCCGATGGCAAAACTGTTTTTGATTAAAAAGTAAACATTTGTTAACAATGGAAACTATTGCCTAAATAGATTATTTATAAAATTCAAACTAGCAGTTTATTATGTTCCCCGAAAATTTCGGGGGAGCATATAGTCGTCGGGTTGTCCGTCAGTCAGTCCGTACGTCCAGAATTAGATTTCCGGTCAATAACTAAGGAACGCTTAGGCCTAGGAACTTCAAACTTGGTATGGTGATTGGTCATGACCAGCAGATGACCTCTATTGATTTTGGGGTCAAGGGGTCAAAGGTCAAGGTCATATTGACCTTGTAGGTAAAAACGGTTTCCGATCAATAACTAAAGAACGCTTACGCCTAGGAACTTCAAACTTAGTATGGTGATTGGTCATGACCAGCAGATGACCCCTATTGATTTTGGGGTCAAAGGTCAAGGTCACATTGACCTTGTAAGTTAAAACGGTTTCCGATCAATAACTAAAGAACGCTTAGGCCTAGGAACTTCAAACTTGGTATGGTGATTGGTCATGACCAGCAGATGACCTCTATTGATGTTGGGGTCAAGGGGTCAAAGGTCAAAGTCACATTGACCTTGTATGTAAAAACGGTTTCCGATCAATAACTAAAGAACGCTTAGGCCTAGGAACTTCAAACTTGGTATGGTGATTGGTCATGACCAGCAGATGACTCCTATTGATTTTGGGGTCAAGGGGTCAAAGGTCACATTGACCTTGTAGGTAAAAACGGTTTCCGATCAATAACTAAAAAACGCTTAGGCCTAGGAACTTAAAACTTGGTATGGTGATTTGGGTTGTTTTTACACTTTGAACTTTGTCTGTGACATAACTCTGACACTACAATAGGTATACCTTCCTGTGTCCAAAACCTATTCGGGGAGCATCACACGGTTCAACCAGCTTTTGTTAAAATCAAACTAGCAGACCATTCATGCATACAACAGATTAACCGAATTTGATCAATGTTAAGCACTAAATGTAAAATAGTTCTAAACAAAAGTCATATGTACGATATCGTAAATGCACATTGTCAAAAATTAAAATTTTAAAAACTGATAAAGAATATTCAAATTGAAGCAGATTAAATCAAGTCCATACCCGTACAAATAGGTTAAGGTTTTAATTTCTAAGTGAAACAAAGCTCATTTTATTAAATAAACCACGACGCAGGATTGTAATAAAGCCATTTAATAAAAACGATATTACACTAGTGTAATAACACTTTGACGTGACGTCATTTGCGCTATATAGAAATATAGCGTTAAAGCGCGCTAATGTTAGCGTTACACAATATACGAAATAAACTGAAATTTTGGAAAATCATTGATCATTCTGAAATTATTTCCGATGCGTCTACAATTGGCTCATCAAAAATAAGAAATATCATAATCGCTTTCGAAAACATTATTTTATATATTGTAAACTGCCATCTTCCATTACTTTGTACGCTAATAATGTAGTTCTACAATTCATGATTGACTGATTGAAAAGCCGGCAACATTTTAACAAACTTTTAGGTCTTGTCGAAAACATGCCCCAAACAAACATTTAAGTACAAAATTAAATCCACTATTCACAAAGAAAACTTATAATTATAATGAATTAATAAAATGGCCTAAACCTTTCCGATTCAATGTATAATGAGTTATAAATCAATTGAAATTGACCACCTATACCAGTCACCAATTGGATAAAGGGATTATGACTGTTGCAAAAACAGGATTTTGATAGCTTTAACTAAAATTAATAAATAAATGTATACTAGAATTGATAATGGATGCAATAACTCAGTGGTAACACTGTATTACTACAAAAATCAGGGGGTCACAAATTAGTCTTTCAGAGGATACTTCAAAACTGTGGGATTTTTGGACCTAAAAAATCATCTAAACATCCCCAAAGTTCAAAACATTAAAAGGGGCCAAGTTCATTTAGAGAATTAAATATGTTTTGAGAATAATAAGAAATATAAGCAGAACATAAACATTAAGCCTGACAATTAAAACAAGAGCACAGCAAATTAAGCCGGGGCAATATACATAGAATTTAACGTTGCAACAATAATCAAAATAATCTTGAAACATTAAAGAGCACCGCAAAGGCAGGGTAGTACACCTCCCAAATGTTAATTTGTCTGAGTAATCAAATATAATCTTTCAATTAGGGAATAGACCCAATTAAGAAAGTTATCTGAAAAATATTTTATCGTAATTATCCTATTTCCAAGGTGGATGAATTTGTTACTCTAAAAATAAGTGCATGACTCGATGTCTACTTAAGGCAATGCTATATGCCAGATAAAAAGGCATAGTTTTTATCCACAAGAAGATGTGTTTTCGTAAACCTTAGTATACGAGTACATGACGCAAGTGACTCCCCGGAAGGGCAAATTTTGACCAGAGGGTCACGATTGATATAACTTCTGTAGAAATCTACAAATTGATGCTACATGCCAAATATCTAAGCTCTGCGCTTTATAGTTTCACATACATGTGTGTTCCTTTAATCAAGTGACCCAGCAGGGGCAGGCAAATTTTGACACCAGGGAAATGATTTATATCAGTTTTGCAGACATTTACAAGGTAATGTTACATGCTAACTACCAAGCTCTTGGTATTGCAGTTTCACAAAATATGACCATAATGTGTTGTGTGTGTGTTTAAGTATATTAAAGTAGTCATTTAATATATTTTAGAGTACAGTGCAAGATTCAGAAAGATTCCAGAAGTTTCCCCTGGTTCTTTAACATGCAAAGTGTTTAAGCACTCATACACCGGACGCCTTTATTGAGTCTCATCCTAAAGCCAATATCTTAGTAATTTTAGTTGGAAATATGTTTTCTCGTACAAGACTATATCAACCTAGTGACTCCCAGGGCAGTGCCAATATTCACTAAAGAGGCATGCTTAATACCAGTTACTTTGTGGTCCAAAAGTTATATTACATGCCAAATATCTAACCTTTTGGTATCATTGTTTCTCACAATAAGTTTCAGATTTGTTTAGTCTGTACATAAGTCTATATAAATTAAGAAGCCCCTTGGCCAGGAATAATATTGAACCAAGGGACATAATTCATATCAGTTTTGTAAAGGTCTATAAGGCAATGCAACATGCTAAATATCCTAGCTTTAAACATTGTAGTTACACACATTGACAATGAAACTTAAATGTGTTTTGCTATATAGGTCTTTATATTAAATCATATAATCCCTGTGGTGTAAACGTAATATTTCTGCCGAAAAAAAAGATTTCTTTCTATTGGTTCTAAAGATACAGAGTGAAACAGAATGAAATAAAAAAGTGTGACCTTGACCTGAGAAAGGTCAAACTTGCGCTTTTGCACATTGGTTCATTATGGTTAACAATTTTGCAAAGTCCAAAAGATTCAATCAGGACAAAACAATTTTTCAAGGACGGATGGAGAACCAGGTGCATGATATTATATGCCAACATTTTTTCGGACATATAATAAGGGGACGGACTTTGCATTCATGATTTTTTCCAAAACATGCTTAATATTAAATACATTGAGTTCATGATAACAAGATATTTGCATAAAAACAGTTCATAATCAGGTTGTCAAGCTACATATTGTACATATTTCTCTCATTTTTAGATAGATGTAATTCTGAATATATTTCTAAACTAAATTTTTACACTCCATAGCACGTTTTATTTTATATAAAATATCAAAATAAAAATAAAAAAAGTTCAATATTTAAAAATATAAAAATCGCGATACTGAAATAAGACGTGGAATGGTTTAAGTATGTGCTAAAGATTCATTTTCAACGGTTTTCATGTTTGTATCATACTTACCTTTCTTTAGGCTGCCAGGCTGCTAGGCTGCCAGGCTACAAGGCTGCTAGGCTGCTCACTTCACAAATTTCGAAGCGTCAAAATAAAAAACGAAGTTCAACTTTAAAAAAAATAAAGATCGCGATACTGAAATAAGACGTAGAATGGTCTAAGTATG